TAGCTTGCTGAGAATTTGCAAGTATATAGAAATGATCTCTCGTGATTGGCTTTTGCACAAGGACAAATTTACATTTGAGAAGTGAGTCCTGGCAAATTTTTGATTAGTGAAACTTGCTATCTGAGGTAAAAGCTCATGGGACCATAATGAGATGTGTTTTGAGCTGTCTGATGGATCATAAAAATCCATCCATAATCAATAGTCAATAATCCACCATCTGAGAGAAATGCCACAACCTACTCAGAATGTGACTGTTACTGGTGGAGGTCTGCATCTGGAAAAACTGAGAGCCTCAGCTTAAAATGGGATCCTCCTGGTTCAGTTTCCCCATTGTGTTCCTTTGAAAAGGAATGTTTCCCACCTGCCTATTCCTGAGTCTGGCTATAAGGTGGAATTGATTCTACATGGTTGGAAAACTGTGATGTCCTTGCTTTTCCTTTTTATGGCAAATTTCTGTAATCAAAGCAAACAGTGAAAGATGTGAGCACAATGCAAGTATGAAAAATCTTGCTGTTTTCAATCTGAATGGGTAGTCATCCAGTATCCCAAATAGTTGGGTAAATTAGTATTCCTGCATAGTTATGTGAAACATTAAATCCCTGGAACAGAACTTTCTTTCTGAATAATATGGGAATGATTAGACAAAGGGAAAAAGTTTGTGAAACAAAGGTACAAACACAATGTTGAATCATTATCCCACAGACTAAGGCTGGGATACATCTGAGCTCCTGTATTAAAGTGTGTTTAAGATCTGAGCTATTCAGCCTAAGATTAAATTCCTTTCTATTTCTTAAGCAACTTAGGATGTGGGTATTTGGCCTAGATATCTGCCTATTACTACATATATGTCTGTATGGAATAAGGTCCTTAAATTTCAAAATGATGTAAGAATAATTGGGTACTGGTACAACTGATTGAGGGACCTAGCTGTTATTCTATTAGTTACTGAAACTAAATCAGAAACTTCTTCAGTTTGGGGAAAAGAATTTTCAATGCAATTTTCTTAGAGGGAGGTAACTTATGGAGTATTTTTACAGTAATGGAAAAGTCAACTTCATTTAAAGTTTACTATTATTGTGAACATAATACCTGTTTATTCTGTATGTCCTGTGGTACAAACCTGTTTTATTAATTACTTATGAATCTTCCCAAGTCTTTTATGATATTTGGAGTAAAGTCAGCCTCTTATAAGCAAATACATTTGTACAACTTAAGGTAGAAACTTCTACCTGCAGAAGCGTTGTTACTTATATTTACATGTATACAGTTGAATCCTCAACAGCATCTGATCCTCCTAAAAGAATTGGAATCAGAGTGGAAACTTCTGAGAAAACAATGAGATCAGATAATCCTGTCTGTCAAAAGCAAATAATAGCATCGTGAGGCTCTTGGTTTCTTTCTTTGTTTTCCTCTTTTCTGACATCATTTTTAATGCTCCTTCTATTTGGGCCCTGCATATTGAACTTGTTTGTCAGATTTATGTCTTCTAGACTATTGGCTGTCCACCTGCAGATGGTCATGCAACAAGGATATCTGTTCCACACTATCCTCATCCCCTGGATGCTGCTTCAGCCTCATTTTACTCCTCTCCCCATCCTCACTCAGGCAGGAACAGCTTCTTTGTCCCTCTTCCAAAAGCTTTTGGGTGAATGGTGAGGCAGACAGGAGTGCTTGAGGTAGACGGAACAAGCACAATGCAGGATGTGAGATATGGGATAAGATGCAGGGTGTGACCAGTCAGAAAAGTGGTCAAAGAAGACTATGCATTGAAGGGAACTTGCCTGTGTGCTTTCTAGCTATGCTTGTTCTGGGCCCCATCTTGTACCACTTCTCCCATTACCTATTCCTGATTCCCACCTTGTACCTAGGGTTAGGCCTGCTTTTCCTGGACTGGGAATCAAATGCTTTAATTCAAATAGGGAACTCTGTGGGGCAGGGCATTGCATATGATTGCTGGGTGTGTCAACTAGCTCTCCCCCTATTCCCTGAAAACCCTGCATGAAATTTATCCTTACCTTGTTTGTTCTTATCCTAATCTCTAACTCCCATATGAAACTCTAAAAATACATCATCTTCCTACAGGCTATATAGCTTTCTGTCTATATAAGCCTGAGTCTTTTTCTATATCGGTGCCCTTTGTTTAGCTCCTTGCTCACATCAGGCCCAGGAAGCTTTGACAAAATAAAGCTCCCAATGGCTACAGAGAAGGTCTAAGTGAATTCTTTCACACTTGAACCAGCTCTCCCAACTCTAAACCTCAACACTAGTATGTAATAAGTGCTTAATAAATTATCTATTTCTCTATTTACAACCATTTATTAATCACCAGCCACTGTGTTAAGTACCAGGAATACAAAAATCAAGTGATAAGCAATCCATTTCCTCAAGCAGCTTACTTTGTATAGCAACTAGGGAGGACACAATATAATGTAATGATAATAAAATAGTTACACATCAGAAAATAGAAGATAAGACAGGCTGACATTAGCTGCTCCCTAGACAACATCATAAATCAAGATGTTCTTTATTCTCTTTGGCCTCTCAGAACTCCTAGGATCCTGACATGCTTATTTGTGTAAACCAGTTTTCAATGCAAGGACAATCCCTCTAAGAACCTATACAAAAGGGTGTAGTTACTAAAGTATCAAAAATATCTCCATATAAAGAGACTATCCCAGAGCTGTAACCATAATTGGTGATGTATTAGTGATTTTCAAAATTACTCAAAAGCAAAGTAAATTTAAGGGGAAGTGGAAGACTGGGGAAGGGGGGAGGAGAAACACTAAAGTACAAAAATGTGGAACTTGGATCCAGAACTGTTTCTGCCAATAATTTGATATTGCAAGCCACAACTTGTTTGGTCTTCATTTGCCTACACAATGAACGTCTAATTTACCTTCCAGCTCTTGCATGCTATAGTTATAAGCCATTATAAACAAGGTGAAATCAGACCCAATTCCTACAGTTGCCAATAATCACTGAAGGCCCTCCTAGGCAAAATTACAAAAGAAACACCAATTACCTAGGCAAATGTAGCTAATAATCTGTAACTAATTATATAATACAGTTTTTCACTGAGAAAGATCCTGGAGCATTTGGGCATTATTTTCTAAAACCCTATTCATTGGTCCTGAAATGTGAATCAGAAAATCATCTAACTTAAAAATAAGATAACAAAGAAACTAATCCCTATTGCAAAATCTTAACCTTTAGATTCTTAAGAGTCATGTATAAGCCAGAGAAGTTCTAAACCTGTTCTATACAAAATAAAACTCCACATTTCAAACAGCTAATTATTGCAAAATCAAAGATAGTGGGGTCACTAATCACTTGAGGTTTTAATAATAATGCTGAGAGCTTTTTTTTTTTTTCTGAATTGAATGTACAGGTGCCCTGGATTAGTTCATTTACAAAGCTGAATGTTAGCCAACCAAAGACTTCAAATATTTAATCAATTCACATTGGCAAGTAAAATAACCAAATCATCCTTCAGCTTTCTGATGTGGCTACAACATTAATCTTTAAACAATTTTACAATAGCTTAAAATATATAACACACATCTCTAAAACTAAAACCTCAATGTCATGAAGACTATAAACTAATTAATAGGAATGCATTTTTTTTTTTTAATGAGGCAATTGAGGTTAAGTGACTTGCCCAGAGTCACACAGCTAAGAAGTATTATATGTCTGAGGTCGAATTTGAACTCAGGTCCTCCTGACTCCAGGACTGGTGCTCTATCCACTGCACCACCTAGCTGCCCCAAGGAATGTACTTTTACAGAGAAAATAATTAAGTCTCAGTAGAAATTTAAATACATTTAAATCAATGCTGGTTCTTTCTGTTCTCTCCTTGTCCTGAAAATAAAACAATGTAACCACTATTCACTCCTATTGATGGGGTGCTTGGGTGTTTGTACTTGGACCCCAATTTCTCCCTAGTCTCAGAAACACTGTCTCTGACAACCACTCCCCAGCCCAAGGACACCGTGCCTAGCAGTTATTCATGCATGGGCCCCAGCACGACCCTTATCTCTCTCCCTGGTGCAGTTACACAAAAGCTGGGTGACAGAGTGCTGGGCTGCTCAGGCCCCAGCCCTCAGATCATGTCTTTGGAAGCCTCCCAATTTCTTAGTAAGTTCCTGTCTTGTGAGAAAGCTTTCCCTTGTTGCAGAGCATTCTCTCATCAAGATAGAGGGAGAGGGGAGCCTTGCCCAGCCCAAGGAGTTTTGTCCTTGGCCGGCCCAAGGACTCTTCCTCCTGCCAGACTCCAAAGATCCATACCTCTGTCATCTCCCTCCCTGTCTGGTATACTCCCTATACTTTCTCATCCATAGCTCTAAAAGACACCTGCACCTTTAGATTACCTCATCAGTGTCCCTGGCTTTCCTTTCCCATGCCCTTTTCCATATAAACCCTAGCTCCATCCTCAGTCTCCTGCAGGTTCCTTAAGAATCCTTGCCTGTTGAAAAGTGTAATAATAAACTTTTTGCAACTGACTTAAAGATTGCTTGAGTTTGTGAATTCATTCCAGATGACCCCATCTTGTACCTCGGTCTTTGAGGGGTCTCAACCTCTCAGACCTCAACACTATGTGGTCATGAACACACAAAAAAGTATTTCTGGACTCTTAATTAACCGAAATGATTGGCACAATTTTACCAAGTGGACTAAGTTGCTGGTAATAATATAATGCAAATAACACTTTGAGGGAGTATTTGGCCTTGGTAGGCCTTAGTGAGGCTTCACCTCACAAGTTTTCGTAGTAATGATCTTCTTTTCTTTGATTTCAAACCTAACTCTAGTTACAACAACCTCAGGAAATATGAAATGGTCCTTCACCTTGGTATTTAAAGAGCATAATGTAGGTTATAGCAGGCAAGCAGTAAAAGGATAATTCTTTCATTCATTTTTACTATGACTGTACTCTTATTGTAAAGATGGGCTGGAAATTAATTTGAAAATGGACACCTTGATTTGTTTGACACCCCCCCAATTACCTGGGTAACCAGAAGAACTGTATGAGGACTGGCTGTCCTGGCTTGACATACCAATGATCCTTTGTGGTGAGGAAGAGCAGGAAGGTCCCAGCGGACCTGCAGACAATCAGCAATTCTAAAGTCAATTAAGCATATACCAGCTGTGAAGCAGACCCTGAGCCACTTGGTAGTTTATGGACCTACAGGAGACACCCTTATCTCCAGAAACTCTCTTAATTTTGGTTATGGGGCTTTCTGAATTATCCTACTTTTGAATTGTTTATCTGATTTATGTATCAAAGGGCCACAGCCTTATTCTTCCTCCCCTTGGGGATGGCCATTATTGACTCATTCCTTTCTAAGCCCACGTTTCCCTTCAAATTCCTTACCTTCCTTTGTTCAAAAGACATAAACACTCCCCATCCATTACTTGGTGGGCTGTTAGCATAGGTTGGCAGTCCTCATGTGCATGTTTTACTTCCCTCCTTAATAAAAAACCTTTCTTTAATTTCACAGGCATTGTCTTTCTCTGGTTTTCTTCCCTTTAAGGAAAGGGGGGATTTAAATCTTGAGAACTGGCCTTTGTCTTTTCCCAGTGCCTTCCCCTGTGGGGGAAAGAGAGATCTGAATTCCATCAAGAGAGTGTTTGCCTCAGTTTACATTAATCATAATGTTTGCCAAACTAGTCAAAGTTTGCTTTGGAATAAAAATGAACTAGATAGGAGTTCATCAACATACCACTTCAAGTTATCATATAGTACGGCCATATCTTAAGAAAACATTGCTATTTATCTGGTGGTGAAACATCAATCCATATGAATTCTATTTGTCCATTTTCAAGAATTATTAACTAGTGACTACTAATAATATAAATTAGCTAATTATGATTCATATATATGACAGGAACATTATTGTTTTATTCCAAAGACAGGTAAAATCTAAGAACCTGATTCAAAGATTATTTTATGATATCATATGTAACCTGTTTATCAACCTGATACCACCCAAAACCTTGCTGGAATAACCTTTAATCTTGCCAAGATTTGATGGAATCCTAATAAAGCCGCCCTAGCCCCAGTATTCTAACTTCCTCATGGGCCTTACTGAACAGAAAGCATGTCCTGATTTAACCACACAATCTGGCTCTAACACGACAGGCCTCCACACTCAATATAGCCACTGTCCCTAGCTAGCCACTGCCCCAGATCCAATTCATATATGTGAACAGGTGTGTCCTCGCACTCAACCATCATCCATTTTAGCTCAAGACAGGGCCACAATACCTAACCATCGACCTTGATCAGACAGGACCACCATAGCTAGCCAATCAGAAAGCAGCAGGACCAGCGTTTGACCACAGAACCATAGAAGGGACCCCTCCCTGTTACCTACTCCCTTAACAAACCCTGCCTTCTAATATTCATAATTTCTGTTATATAATCAGCATCATTACACTATAAATTTGCCTGTGATGTCTTACCATGTTGCTGGTTCCTCTTGGAACACTTCTGAGGGGTGTCAATTCTCAATAAAAGCCTATACTTGGATTAGAGGTGGTCTGACTCTGAATTCTTTGAGACAACCCCCACAACACACCATGAAACTGAAAAAGGTTCATACACAACAATAGGGTTCATTACTAGACTGGGCAATAAAATGTGTAGTAAAACATTTATGCCAATTTCTTCATGTAACTCCATGTCTCGATTTGAGCATTCAATTTTCACCACCTCCCTTCCCTGCCCTTGAAGTAACAAGCTTCACAAAAATGAATTTCTGAAATGAAATCTAAGTCTGAAGTACCTACTATTCTAACAAAACAAATGTAATGATGGTGATGATAAATACAAAGTCCATAGTGCCTCTAAGTCTTGAAGAAACTAGATTTTTGACACTTTTTTTCTGTAATGGTTTTAATAAAACCACACTGCTTTTCACAGATTTAAAAATGTAGTGGAATTTTTCATGGACATCGAATTTTTAACTCCAGGAATGTCAAATTACTTTTGAAACAGAGCCTGGCTACTGTTGCCTAGTTATGTCTCTATGGTATTGACCTAGTAAGCCCCAGCCAATACCAGGCACCAAACAGGCTTTGGGTTTGCCAATGGCTCTGCTCACTAACCAACTTTAGAAGGTTCCCCAACCTCTACCACTGAAGGTTGCACAATGGTACCCTGTCTATCTAAAATTCACTTTGCTTTTACAATTTTGATATTTTTTGTTTTTACATCACTCTTTCCCAAATGTAACCCTTTCCCTCTTCCCTATCCAGTAAGCCCCTCCCAGTTAAACAAAACCAAGAGAGACATCTGTCCTCCACAACATTCCACACCTATGGTCTCTTACCTTTCCACCGAAAGGAGAGGAATAAATTTCATCATTTCTCCTAGAAGCGAAGCCTGATCACCATAATTACAAAGCCTTCAGTTTCTTTTTTTTTTTATTCACTTCCAGGATTTACAGCTTCTACTTAGGGTTTGCACATTTGTGTGGGATCCATATAGCTGATATGATCAAAAGCCCTGGGTCGGGAATCAGGACCTGTATTCTCGTCCAGGCTCTGCCACTAACTAGCTGTATAACCTTATCCAGACTACTAAGCATTTATGGGATCCTCCTCTCGAAGCCCTTTGTGGTTACCTACAACTTTAAAACTATATAAAAATCCCCAGACGAAACCTGCTCTTCTCCCCCCGCGCAGAATTGCTCTAAGGTACAAGAGTTATGGAGTCTACTGCCCGTCCACCTCCTCTCTCCGCAAAGGTAAATATCCTATTTCTAGGGCGAGTGTCACCTGGAGCCCAGTAGCTGGGAGCGACTCAGTTCTGCCCCCATGTCGTCCTTCCAAAGTCTCCTTCCTCTTCCTCCCCCAGGAACTGACAATGAGAAGGAAGCAGGGTTGCAGGACACATCTGTTCCTCTTTCGCAGTTTCGGGAACCTCGCAGGTCAGACCATTAGACCCCGAGAGCTCGATGGAGCCCCAGGTTCAGAAGTATCAAGTGCCATTGGCAGGCTGCTCCCGGCCTGCTCTATGCATAATTCATAAGCAAGATATCTGGCTGCCCATGTTGAGGTCTGAGAGACTGAGACCCTGCAAAGACCCAAATACAGGACAGGGTCGTCTGGAATGAATTCACAAACTCAAGCAATCTTTAAGTCAAGTTGGCAAAAAGTTTATTGTTATGCTTTTCAGCGGGCAAGGATTCTTAAGGAACTTGCGACCTTAGAGGGGTACAGTTAAAGTTTATATAGGATTAAAATATAATAAAACATGTGTCAAATATGCTAACTAGGTGATTCAGGGTGGGATCGGGGAATGGTTAAGGAGTGGTCAGTTCTTAAAGGAACATGCACTTCTTGTACCTACTGGGAAGGCGGTTTACCCAGAATTCACTAGGAAAAGCCCACAAGGCGGGCCACATGGAGGTGTGGTTTTAGGCCTGCTAGGTCACGAAGTTAACTAGAGATCAGGGGTAACTCAGAGTTGTCCAGTCTGCCACCAGTCAATGTCTTGTTTGACAAGATAAATGTAGGGAGTATACCTATATGTCTTAGGTCTAGAATACAGATAACGAGGAGTCCAGGATGTGGATAATGAGGTAGGGCAGTAGTATAGTCCAATGGGTAAGAATATCTTAATGACCCAGTGCAAAGCCAGTTCAAACTAATAATTCCTTCAGGTACGGTTTGTAACTGCACCAAGGAGAGAGATAAGGGTCTTGCTAGGGCCCACTCATGAGTAAATTGCTAGGCACAGTGTCCTTGGGCTAGGGAGAAACTGCCAGGGATAGTGTTTCTGGGGCTAGGGAGAAATTGGGGTACAAGCACCCAAACAAAGCACCCAAACACCCCATCACCCAGACGTGCTCCAGTGTGCTGGGGGAAGTGGGAACGGGAGAAAAGTACTATCCTCGTTCCTAACCTAGGGCAACCTAAGCAAGCTCTCAGAACCCACTCGCCCTGCCAGCTTTCCATGCCAGGCTCAGGCTACTAAGCCTTGACAATTAGAAGCTACCAGCTGCCGCTAGCTCAGGTAAATGCGCACAAGCGGTCGTATTTGCTGCTGCAGCTGCTGCTGCTCTTGGGACCCAGGCGTGGTCTGGCCCACGGACTTCCTGTCTAGTTTCAAAACGCAGACACTCGTGACGTGATCAAAGCGGCAGGGAGCTTGACTCCACAAATCCTGAACTGGGCAGCCCCGACCTCAGGGTCAAGTGGGAAAGCGTGCAAGCCTGAGCCAAGACTCACTCACCCTTTCACTACCTCTGGCCTCTGCAAAGCGGAGGAAGCCTTCCCTGACACCCGCCCCTCCCAGTGCTCTGCCTTCAGAGGACCGGCACAGCAGCTCGCAGAGAAGCCCAGTCTGCCCCCGCCTACCTGCCTTTGCTGTAGTGGCGGCGGTAAGCTCTGCTGCTGCGGCTTCCTTCAACACCTCTCCTTGCAACCTTGGGGAGAAGTACTACTGTTAAGCCCAGGGCGGGGGACTTCTGTTTAAAGCTCTAGCCGCTGAGTCAGAGAAGCCAGAACCACCCCCAGGATCTGGGAATAGTGGACTGTGGGAGGAGTCAGAGAGAAGCTACTCCCTCCTACTCCTTAAACTATTTTCTGACTTGGGGCATACTGGAAACCAGGTGCTAAGGGAAACTATAGTGGGATAAGGGTACTTCGGAACACGCCCGCCTCATCTCTAAAGACCTGGGTGCAAGTTCTGCCTATGACACATACTACCTATGTGACTCTAGGAAAGTCACTTAACGTCTCAAGTGTCCTAGGCAACTCTCTTAGATTGTAAGTTTCGAGAAGGCGCCTACTTTGATGGAATAGGAAATTTCCTCACTGGAAATTTTTTACACAGATGAAATAACAGGTTCGGTCCCAAACCCTCTCCGTCGTCCCTCCCCCTAGTCAGCCCATTGCACTTCTAAACCTTATCCTGGTAATCTGTGGTTTGGGAAGAATAATTCTCCAGGGAAGGAAGTAAGAAAGAAAAGGAGAAAGGGAGGGAGGGAGGGGAAAGGGGACTGAAAACCATCCTAAATGATTTGCCTAAACCTCTAAAACACACGTCTGACTCCTTCACTCTTCAGGGAAACTTAAACTGTTATAGAGCAAGATTATGCTTCCAGTCATTTGTTTGTATTTCTGCGGCCTGTTCAGATGACAGAATACCGTTTTTTCCTACTGTCCACAGAAAAAAAGGGGAAAGAGTGAGAGCTTAAAGTTTTCAAAGATGATAGTCATCTTTGAATTCTAATTCTAGCCAATTAAGAATGGAGAGAGAGGAATGGAGAGAGGGGGAGAGAGAGAGAGAGAGAGAGAGAGAGAGAGAGAGAGAGAGAAATTGATTTCTCCCTATCTTGTGTTTACTACTACACTCTGCTATAATAGGATTTTTATTTTCACCTGAGAAAAATAAAGTAAGACATCATGGGGAGATGGCATTTGGTTTTGAAAGATGTTTAGGATTTGGATAGGCAGATTTACTTGCTGTAAGGGCATAGGAAGAACATGCTAGAAAGAGGGA